GCCCATGAAAAAGGTAACACCAAAAACAGAAAGCGGCATCTTTAGAAATACTATATTCCAACCATTCCCAAGTTTTAAACCACTCTCCTCGAAAGCTCCTTAATGTCTTACCAAATTCAGTTCGTGGAAACTTATGAGATGCTGGTTGACAAGCACCTTTAACAACATATGCTCTCATCACATCATCCCTAATCCCCGACACATATTCATTAATTGGTTTTCGTAAAAATGGATCACTAATAATATCTCATTCATGTGTACTTTCTGTTCGGGCTCTCTTGTCCCTCTCATTCCTCTCATCTCTAGCAGTATTTTCATTTGACGCAGTGGCATTTTCAACACTAGAGATAGACTGATTAGGAACAATTGAAGAACTAACACCTCCAATCAAAGACCTCTTAGTCTTAATTACAAATTTATCCAAACTCATACTCCTAAATATAACAAAAATAAGTATGAATTAAAAATGTTCCTTATACAAATAGCATTAAATTGCATCTAGAACTGAGATTTGAGGATTCACACAAATAATTTCTGACTTTTCGTTAGGGATGAGAGCAAATAATTAATATGTGCATAAATTGGCAGATGAGAAACTTACTTGAAAATTGCAGAATCTGAGAACAAATGGGGAGAAGTGAGAACTAACTGGAGAAGGAAGGTAGATTTCTGTTGGGGAGTAAAGTCGGAGAGGGAGCGGGCGATGCTGCTTCTCAGTTCTCACGTTCGCTGCCTGTCTGCGTTCTCAACTGCTCGATTCATTTTTTTTGGCGGAGTGGGAAGGGACTGTCGACTGTCTAGGTCTTTTGTTAATGATGCTTTGAATGTTTAACCCACTTAATGGCTTTAGACTTTAGTGATTACGTTTTGAATTGTTATTTTTTTCATTTTTGGGCTTAGGCTTTAGGATTGTCGAGGTGGCTTGGGCTTTAGAATTGTTTTTTTTTTCATTTTTCTACTTATGCCCGTTTTTTTTACTTAGCCTTAGACTAGATGCTCATTTGTCTCATTGACTCATTAATCCCCTTTTATTCTATATTTCATTTTTTTTACTTTTTCTGAAAATACTTTTTTATTTATTTGAACACTTCATCTTAAAATAACCTTAAGTTGTACTTATTGTTTTTAAAATTAAAAAAGAAACCGGGGCAAGAAACATATTATAAGTAATACTAGTAAAAAAAATTAGTCGGAGCGGGGGCGCTTGCCCCCCCTTGCCCCCCCCCCCCCCCCCCCCCAGCTCCTCCACTGATCACAAGGTGCTTTTGTTGATGGAAGACAAATGACTGATAACATCTTCCTAGCACAAGAATTGGTGAGGGGATACACTAGAAAGAGGGTCTCTCCTAGATGTATGATCAAGGTTGATATTAGAAAAGCATATGATACTATTTCTTGGAGCTTTCTTGAAAATGTTTTAAGGAGCATTGGGCTGCCCAATATTTTTGTGAATTGGATAATGGAATGTGTCACTTCTTCTTCTTTTTCAATATCTATAAATGGCAGCCTACGTGGGTGGTTTGAAGGAAAGAGAGGTTTGAGACAAGGGGACCCCATGTCTCCTATGTTGTTCGTCTTATGCTTGGAATACTTATCCCGGATGCTAGCTGTTAGGACCTCAAATCCTAATTTTAACTATCATCCCCTATGTTCCAAGCTGAAAATTTCACACCTGGCTTATACCGATGATTTAATGCTATTTTCCAAAGGGGAACCCAAGTCTATTAAGATATTAGTTGATGCTTTAAATGATTTTGGGAGGGTCTCGGGCCTCTTGGTCAACCAAGACAAATCTAACATTTTTGTGGGGGGGAATATTGCACAAAAACTACCATGTATTTTTTAAATGGTTGATTTTCAACAAGGATCCTTCCTGGTAAGGTACCTTGGTATTCCGTTGGCTCCCTTAAAGATATCTGTTGTCCAATTCTCTCCCTTGATTGATACAGTTACAGACTATTTTAATGCATGGAATACTAAATCCTTATCATATGCGGGAAAGGTTGAGTTGATCAAGTCAGTTGTTCAAGGGGTTCAGTCATTTTGGTTGGGTATTTTTCCGGTCCCCAAGACAATCTTGGACAGAATAGTGAGTCTTTGCAGAATCTTTCTTTGGGGGGGTAAACATGCTAAAGTGGCTTGGGAAGATGTGTGTTTACCTAAAGAGGAAGGGGGTTTAGGAATTAGAGATACAAAGGTGTGGAATAACGCATTATTGTCTCGAACACTATGGAATATCCACGCCAAACAGGACACACTTTGGGTTAGATGGGTGAATGGAGTCTATCTTCATGGGAAAGATGTGTGGACTTTTGTTCCACACAATAGGGACTCACAATTGATGAAAAGACTTGCATTAATCAGAGATTCTTTTATCTCAAAATTTTCCTCTTTACCCGAGACTATAACCAATATAGGAAAGATGGTCCACAATGGAAAGCTTTCCTCTTCTAAGGTATATGACCTACTTAGGTTGAAAGGGATTGCTCAAGCATGGATGTCTTTCATTTGGAAGGCGTATATCCCTCCCAAATTCTCGTTCATAATGTGGCTAGCCTACCGTAATAGACTACCTACATATGATAACATGGTTTACCTTGATATTGTTAATGTTTGTCCTTTTTGTAAGGGTGGTCCGGAGACGGTACCACACATATTTTTTGAATGTATTTGTACAGGGTAGGTTTGGGAAAGGATTAAACTTTGGCTTGGGATCTCTAGAAGAATGTCATCTTTGAGGAGTGCGGTGAAATGGATCCAAAAAGATTGCAAAGGAGCGCATATCAGGGCAAAGGCTACGAGGATAGCGTTTAGCTACACAATCTACTGGATATGGAGGACTAGGAATGCAATTCGTTTTGATGGAGCAACACTAAAGACGGAAGATACCATTGCACATATTAAATATATGGTGTACAAAGTGCTCTATTCATTATATCCGTATCACATGATCCCTTTTTGAAACGCAAACTAACTTTTGATGGACTTACAAACTAGCCTTTTTGTCATGAGGTGATGGCGGTTTTTTTGCTAGATGATAGATACTAGATGTTAAGCTTAGATAGCTTTTGATGTTATAGGGTATCCTTGCTAGGATATGCCTCTAATTTTGCTCATCCCGATGTACATATACTCTGGTTACTATATATATATTTACCTTTCCCCAAAAAAAAGGAACGACCGCTAACATGTACTCCCTAAAATAATTGCTAATTTGATGCATTTTTAAATCACATGGATAAATAGGTCAAATTTATATTTCAGGAGAGGGCGCATTAAACCCGAAAAAAGTCGCAGATTATACGGTGCAACCAGCGCACCATGAGGATGGTGCGCCCGGTTGCAAAAGGACGCAGTACCAGGCCTGGCTCCATTTTTTTTTATTGCTTTTCTTGTTAAAAAATGGTAATAACTTTTTTATTTTTGATCCGATTTTTATAAAATTTATATCATCATTTTTTATTTTTCATAATCTTTCAAATGAAACAAATATTGCTTATGTAACTTTAAGAAATTATCGAACTATTATATTAATGAGTATTGCATTATAAGGAAAATCGAACTAAATTTAATATAGAAAAATAATTGTGTAAATCACAATTTATCTTAAAATTGTGTATATAAAAAATTTATTGTATTATGTATTTATACATGTGAGCTACATATTTTTATACATACAGTTACATATTTTTACACGTAAAGTTACATATTTATACACGAGTTGCATTTGGCTTGCCTGAACGTGAGTTACATATTTTTACACGTAAAGTTACATATTTTTACACGTAAAACTTACATATTTTTACACGCGAGTTACATATTTATACACAGAAGTTGTATTTGACCTATCTAAACGCGAGTTACATATTTTTACACGTAAAGTTACATAGTTTTACATGTAGAGTTACATATTTATACAGATGAGTTACATTTGGCATGACTCGACGTGAGTTACATATTTCTACACGTAAAATTAGGGGTGGGCCGGTTCCGGTTCGGGCCCGGACGGGCCTCGGTTCATGAAGGGGAGGCCCGGAACCGGTCCGGGTAACCCCCGGGTCCGGGCCGGGCCTCGGTTCTAATTTGTTTTTTTTTTTGGCTTTTCCTAGTTAATCTCCAACCCTCCCCCTCACCCCCAAACCAGCCCTAACCACCTCAAATGGCCCAAAATACCCAGCCCAACCCAAAAACTTAAAAAAAAATCAAAAAATAATAATAAATTGGCTCGGCCCGGGCCCGAACCGGCCGGGCCGGTTCACCTTTTGAAGGGCCCGAGCCCGAACCGCCATCCCACCGGGCCAGGTGGCCCGAACCGGGCACGATGGGATGGCGGTTCGGGCTCGGGCCCTTCAAAAGGTGAACCGGCCGGTTCGGGCCCGGGCCAGGCCATTTTTTTTTTTTTTTGAATTTTTTTTAATTTTTGGGTTGGGCTGGGTATTTTGGGCCAATTAGGGTGGTTAGGGTTGGTTTGGGGGTGAGAGAGAGTTGGGGGTTAACTAGGAAAAGCCAAAAAAAAGATTAGAACCGAGGCCCGGCCCAGCCTGGGCCCGGGGGTTACACGGGCTGGTTCCGGGCCTCCCCTTCATGAACCGAGGCCCGAACCGGAACCGGTCCATCCCTAGCCCGACCCAACTCCATGCCTATGATAGACGGTTAGAGTAGTAAATTTGAAAAAAAAAAAGATTCTTAGAAGGAATATAATGAAGTTTAGCATCTGAGATATGTTGAAGCAGTTGAACTCAAACAGTTAAAGTGATATTGATTTTAAATTAAACTTAAATTGCCACTTAGTTATTCTCTTCAAAAACCCTCATATTGGAGTAACTTGAAATTTGAGCTTTTGAAAAAATTTAGTCACAAAAACCTTCCAAACTCATTGCACCGCATTTTTTAAACTCTAGTACACAAGTAGATGGTCATCAACCCTCACGTGCCTTCCAAAAACCCAACTCCCACACACACCCCATGAATTAAGAGTTAAGACACGATCATGGAATTACCTCACAGAACTAAAGCAAATGTGAAATTCCAAGGGATAAAAGCATCTCTGCATGAGGTTATCAAAACACATCCCTTTAACCACATAATTCAATCCACTTAAAGTTGATGTCAATGAAAATTCATCAACACTCAGCATTGCAGGAATAAGACGATGGTAAGCCAACCCATTACTTGTGATAGATGATTCTATTAACAACATCAACAGGAAGAGCATATGCTGGATCTATAGCTTTGAGTCCCGGATATTCCAAGAGTGAAAGTCCTGAAGGGCAGACAAATAGTGATGCAAGATAAATCAAACAACTTATTTTGTAATAGGTGCTAATCACATGCTAGAGTGGTCAAATTAAAACAGCCAGTTTTTCAGCGATCAAATTAGTGTACCTTTTTAAAATTTAGTGTACAACTGTTCAAAATGTACTAAGTGAGGTTGATAGAAATATTACGATTTTGGAGTGGCAGGATGACTTGTGATCCTACACTTACCAGCAACCCCAAAATAGGTATGGAAAACATCAACTGCATCATCTGGCCTATCTGAAATTCCACCGTTTTCTATATCCTACACAATCACGAAGGCACTACCTTAACCAAACAATGAAAAATAAGTTGCTTAAGAAAAGAGAAATGATCAATTGTGACTTCGGTACGAAGATTTCAACTCAGCATAAGGAAGCAGAACTCACTTGACAGTCCAAAATAAATTTTACAAGCTTCTCCTTGTCAATCCAGTGAACTCTGTCTATCATAATTAAACTTGAAAGAACCCACCAAGAGTAGCAGACCTGGAATTGAATAAACAAAATACAATGAGTAAGATCAGTCGCGTCTTAAAATCATATCAACAAATTTTATGTATTTTTCAAGCAAGGACAAGTCGCACACATCAGGAAGCTTCTCAGGGCGGCCATTGAGACCTCCAGATTTTACTTGTCTTTCACATAACCACCAGCCAAGGAGATCTTTGTCAACATGATGCAAAGAGCCCGTTATTGCAAGAGCTCCTACACAACAAAAAACTGCAATAGCAATAAAGTTAGTGCATTCATATCACAGCATATGGCTGAAGGCATCACAGAATAGATCCAACAATACTATGCTTGGACATTAAGGTTTGTTCATGTGAGTAGCATATTAAAAAATTTGTAAAATAAAGATGGGTTTAATTGCCAAGGTTCAAGTAGCTAATTGGCTCAATTTTATAGTTTTGGTTTGACTCGAACACATCATATCCTAACATTGGGCAGAGGATTTCTATATTAGAGACTTCTTTATGCAATCTTCATTTACATAATTACATATCAAATTGGAGAAAGAAAATCAAAACAATGTACTAGTAGGTTCTAGCATTAACAAGACTTCGAAATCATTATTTTGGGGTATAAAACGCATCTAAATGAATAGTTCACATCACTTCTTCTAGAATTGCATGAATATCTATATCCTAATAATGCTGAATAAATATCATGAAAGTAGGCAATCCAAGATCACACAGGAAACTGCTTTAATAATGATTCTAGATTTCTAGTAAAGATATATCTCTTCCAAGTCAAGTAACATGTAAGAAATTTCAAATAAAATAGTACTATATTGTGCAACATACTTTGTCCAGCATGCGACTCTGCCCCAGGTGTGCAACCAAATCCACCATCCATATTCTTGCAACTTAAAATGTACTGTACTGCCTTTTCCACATCAATTGCATCCAAGCGTTGCAACAGTGCAAGAGAACTTATTGCAATGTAAGAGAACCTAAAAAAAGAGTTACATTGGTAATTCTTTTCTTTCATGATAATACTATGTTAAAATAAACACTGAATAACATGCAAAATTTGTTTCAAGTGTAATAAGTGAATGAAGAAACTAAGATGAGATCATGGGAGTAAAATATTATAAGAAAGGTTTGAAAGTGCAGTTGGTTACCTTGTATCAACTTCACCCCACATGTCACCAGAAAATGAACCATCTTCATTTTGCAGGTTGGCAATATCTGGCTAAATAGTCAAGTTCAACACCTAAATTCAATCTCAGAGTTGTTACACATTCACAGTTTTGATTGATAAATAAAGTTGAATTCTGGCTAAAACGTTTTTAAAAAACACAAAAGACAATACACTAGAAATATAGAATGTACTACCTCAGTTCTTAAATAATTGCAACATTAGATATTTTGCACTAGTCACATGCTAACCTTTGACTACATTTTATTTACCAATCATCATCATCATTACCCCAGTGCCGCAAAGGCTCCCACCTACAATGGTGTAAAGGGGATGGATGTACGCAGTCTTACCCTTGTACTAAAGCACAGAGAGACTATTTCCGGATGACCCATTGTGAAAATCGTGTCGAAAATTGCATAGACTGATTGCTGCTTCATAACAAAGAAGGGCAGACTGTTTAGTGAGTCATTTTGCTCTATTCCATCATATTCCCAAGCCAAAAATATAATTAAATTATTCACCAATGCATTAAAAAATTAATTTTTCAAAAATATAATTAAATTATTTCATTTTAAATTTTCCAAAAGCAATTTTTTTATTTTTTTACTAATAGGGAATTAAGTATATTAATGGTTAAAGTTGTGCGCCGGTAAACGCGAAAATGGAAGTGTTGCAACCAAAAAAGAACGGAAGAAGTATATCCCTGTGGATAAAGTGGAGAGCTTATGTGCTGAATGAAAGTAAAATCCAATTCATGTCAAGATTCAAGAATCCCTTTAAAGGATACATTTTGAAACCTTGCCAGTGTCAAGAACATCAAGCTTATTAAAAAGCGCTAAAACTTGGATGGCACTAAGGGTATACAAGACATGTGGGTCGTGTCCAATGTTACCACCAAATCCACCTGCACAGATAAACCCAAGGTACTCTAAATTGTAAATTCAAGACTAATGTAGCCAGATTTCAGGCACTATGGTTAGTTCATCATCTCATATATCAAATTAGTTTTAAATAAGGTAATCCAGCTGTTATATCCAAGAAATATGGAGTATGAAAAAAAAATCGGGCTCCCAGATGTGAAACCAATAAAGAGCAAAGGGGTGGCAGGCTGGCATTATAATCATATTTAGTGCCTTAGTGGTTCCTTTTGGAACTCTACATTGTGACTCCAGTTAAATACACAAACTGTTTGCATCAACTCACCAAGTAACACCTTATCCAAAAGGGAAAATATCTCAATACAAGTATACAACAACAACAACATCCAAGCCTTTGTCCCAAAAAAATTTGGAGTCGGCTAACATGAATTGACACATGAAATCGGAGCAGGGAAAATATCACAATAAAATAATCAAATATAAGAGAACTAGCAAATTGTACAAGCTGACCAAAATTTAGAGATCGACCAATAAAAAGAACTTAGTATGATAAGACAAACCAGATTCATCTTGACACTGCATGATCCAAGGAATAACCTCATCTCGGTCCACTACATCAATCTTTCCTAGGATATCAAGCGTTGTCAATCCCCAGTAAGCTCCATTTAATCTTAGATGTTCCATCACCACGGATTCGAAATCATCTTTCCTCTGAAAGTAAGACATAAACATCGTAAAGATTATTGATTTAACCAAACAATACATGTTGAAAAATACATATTTAAATATTTGACACTAAAATGTTACTCCCTCCGTCCCGCTAGAAGGTTCCCGTGAACGGTTTACGATGCTTGACTGACGATACAGCAACTTAATCCCTGCTCACACTCGGATTATTTTTAGTAAATAAAACTAACATATTCAGAAACTACATTAAAACTGCTACAAAGCCTGATAAAAAAATGTAAATTTGATAAAAATTTGATTTATAAAGTAAAGGATTAAAAATGATTTAAGTTGACCATGAGAATAGTGGACGGGAACCTTCTAATGGGACGGAGGTAGTATATACTTAAACAAGATAATTAAAATTTTCAAATATTAGAAAACTATAATAGTTTAGAAAGCACGATTAAAAAAACAAGTTCAAATGTTTCAGACAACTACCCAATGTGGTAACTAAACTTAAATAATTAGTTGACTCTATAAATTTCATTGCACCAACCCGGCAAGGTTGGGGTTAAGGTGATGCTTATAATAAAAAAACAGCAACTTGTTTTTGCTATTAAGTGAAGCGATAAATCCGATAATCACAATAAATTCATTAATGAAAAGAAGACATATTACTACATGATTAAGAGCCCATTCTCTTTAATATGGTTCATAAAAACAACATGTAAATAATAGAAATATAAAAAATTCTGACCTTTTCAACTGATATAATGTATTTAACATGCCTGTCCACCACAAGCCCTTCCATTCTGCCATTTGAGACATATCAATGCAATGTCCCAACTACCAACTACCAATTGTTCAAAAACATAAATAACATATCCATAGTAAACAATTTGATACTGTATCTTCAATTGAAAATTAATAATTGCAATCTTAGGTCCAAATTTGTTCTCTAGAAAGAAATGAAATTTCGGATGATTAATTTTCATATTTTCATTCTTATGAACTATAGAGAATTCCAAGAGAAGAGCATTTGAAATGAGATGGTATACAGTTCCCTGCGGTTCTTGATGATTTCCTTAGAACCACAAACATCTAAATGAAAACATTGGAACCAATAAAAGAAGATGGACATGTTGTACATTACTGGAATTTGATATTAGAATGTAAAGGCTAGATTTTTACTTTAATGTTGTTATCAATTTGTAATATTATCTTTGTTTTTCAATTCTAGAGAGTGGCTCTGAAGTAATGCTTGTGACTTGTGAGCTTGTCAACATTGAATAGTGTGTAGGTTAGGTATGGGTTTTAATTTTGTATTTAGGAAGACCTCGAATGAGCGATGAAGAACAAAAACTATTACGGAGTATAAACTCAAATCATACTTAATGTGTGTGGTATTTTATTGAATGTTGGAGTTACAAAATAATGGTAACTCATGCCAGGTTTAGTTTAGCAAAGCCATAGCAGATTAAGCTTAATTGGTAATGACTTTGCTAAACTAAACCTCAATTATATAAGAGACTAATTTACTTGGATTGAAATTTTCTAGTTTGATTTGTTCTGTTTAAGTCTTCTCTGATCTGGTCTGAACTGGTCTGGTAGATGTCTGATCTATGTGTATTTTACAATTATTGAACTCTGGTCTGATCTTTTTAAATTTGGTCTGGTTTGTGCAGGTTTGGGATAGAAATCAGTCCAAGTCAAACGATCGCATGTACACTTTACTAGCATGAAAATGCTTCTTATGATATAGAATTCCATAAAATCAAGTGAAAGCATATCAGTACATAAGGCATACAAGTTAAAGCATACATTCATTTTCAGATTTTAAAAGTTGTAGATAGAAATACTCCATTCACAACGATAATTGAAAGACAAAAGAGTGTCATCCATCCTAACTCATGCGGAGCAAATTAGCAGATAAAGACATACACACATTGTGACTATCTAGGCTATAACTTTATGCATGGACAATTGATATATAAACATTAAGCAAATAGTCCAAAAGTGAATATGTATTGGTACCTGAAAGAAAATATTTAAACAAAACGGAATAAGTTATCAAAATAAAACTTGCTGCAAAAGCTTATAAAATAAAACTGCTAATTTTTTCAGGTTTCATGGTTTAACAGTCTGAGATGAAGTCCATATTCGAATTCATGGTTAAGGAAGATATATGAAGATCCCAAAACGGAAAGAAACTGAACATGAAAGAAAGAGGAAAAAATGTAGACCCAAAAATGGACCTAATTGCCATCGCACTAAACAATAAATTCTCTTCAAAATACAAGAGATGGAGAGAAGATAAATCATGGAAAAAGAAGAGAAAGTTACCTTTTTCTCTATAACCTTACAACCAAAGCAGTTTTTATACACCGGATACTCAAAGAAATGTAATGTAAGGTAGTGTCTAATGTCTATGGCCTTTTAAGCTTCAACCTTTCCCTCAAATTACACCCATCGTCAAAAGAGGGCATCCCGTCTGAGGCAAAGCGGCCAAACGGCATTTGGGGAAAAAAAGAGAAAAAATGTCAATTCAATACACAAAGTTATAGCATATGGAATAAAGAGTATCTCATATCGAATTTCATACAAAGAAGATGTTAATCGAGCTGACCTGGCAAACAAGAATACTGATATGTTCAAATTAAGTCCACATCATCCGTTATGTGCTCGGTGATTACACTGAAAACCCTAACCTATTCTTACGCCCTTTCTCAAAATACAACAACGATGAATAGAGGATAAAGAACAAGAGTAACTACAGTTTGAAAGTATTAACCTGAAGATGGAGAATGACAAAATCGGATGAAAGGTACGAACGCTAAGATTAATTTTTTATATGTGTTCGATTCGTCCCTACACGGATAATTAACTGGGAATTTTTTTTATCCCTATTTAATTTAAATGGCGTAAGCCTAAAATGATGTTGTTTTATTCCTTAGTTTGCCGGAACGTACTCCAACTAGTACAGTTTATATGTTTGAACTTTGGTGCTTTGAGATGTCTTGAAATGCTTAATCATTTATTGCATTATCCTAAAAATTACTTTGTGGTGTATTTTGATTTGTTGGGGGATTTACAGTGTCTGTAAACTCAATTACATACTACGTAATTGAGTAATTCCATTACGTAATTGTTGGGGGATTTTTTGATTTGCTCTCAAAGCTATATTCTGAAAGTCAAAACATCCACAAATTAACAGAGGAAATGGAAAATAAAATCAGTCCGTACGATAAAGACTCAGTAATAATCTAGGGTTCGTCAACAAAAAAGAAAATTAATAACCGAGGAAGAGAAGATGAAGAGGAACGGAAGAACCAGGACCTGAAGCTTGGGGATGAAACACGCAGAAATGAACGATAGATTAGGGTTAGCTATCCCGTGCCAGTTGGTATATACTACACGGTAGGGGTGGGCATAAAACTCGAACGGTTACCGAACCGTCCCATAATGGTACCGAACCGAATACTGGATATTTAAATGGTTCTAAAGATTTTTGTCTCATACTGAAACCGAACCGTTTAAAATGGGTACGGGATCAGTACTAGATTTTGAGAACCCAAAAATACCGGACCGAACCGTTCGAAAATATTGCATTTGAATTTTTTATAATTTATCAATACCAATAGGCAGGGGCGGATCTAGCTTTGGCATCCAGGTAGGGCCAAAATTTAATTAAAAACGAATATTCAAAAAAACATTTATTCTAGCAACAAAATCAAAGACAAAAATAAAGATTATAGGAATAAGAGTTTTCATTAAAGTCAAATACAAAAACACCATAATTTTAAAACTGTTCTCTACGGGTTTTCATCGATTGATATTGTTTGATAATGACATCATTATCAATTTTCAAGAAGATTCTTTTTCTACATAAACAACAAGTCTATTATTGAGTCAGTCATCACTCATCCGGTTGCTCAACCTATCTTTCTACGTTGTTTTGTTCGTCATTTGTTGTTGAGATTTCTTGAATTATAGTTAAGTCCATTAGCTTTTTCTTCAACATGGTTATAGTATCTCTTCATTACCTTTATTGAAAATAATGGGATGACTAATTACTACACTAATATTAATTAACTTAATAATTAGAATAATAAGAACAAGTCACAAGCAAATTCATACTATAAATAATAAATACAATTTACAAGTTTACAAATAATAATCGAATCCATATCAAGCAAACCTGTAATTTAGTTTTTAACTTGAATTTAAAACACAATAAAATTAAAAGATTTAAAAAATACCTTGAATTTAGGACTTAGGCGGCCTTCTCACTTCTCAAGAATCAGGCACATAGCCTTGTTTTCTTCGTAGTTGACCTTCAGAAAAATTGCACTCTGATTTGCTTCAGCCAATTGAATCTGCCATTGTATTCACAAAATTTACAATAAAAAAAGAATTACTAAAAAATAAGATGGTTGATTTTTTACATAATTTTTTAAAGTAGTATTATTATTATTATTAGCAATTGATTACATGACAAGACCAAGGGTTAGTTAGGCAGGCAACTACTAAAGCAACCTTACAAATACTTTTCTGAGAAGCGAGGAAGAAAGAAAGGATAAAAATGTACAGTTTCAATGGGGTGTGAGAGACATACCTTAGGATGCAATTATGCAAAGCCTTGCAACCACCACAACCTGGCGAATAGAAGTCAACAATGACCGAGTGCGCCGTCTACCAAAGAGAAATTAGAGCAGCAGTCGCCGGTGCGTCGTCCGAGACTCCGAGTGCTAAGCGCCTGAGCCGCCGTGCGCCGTCCTGGCCATCCGGCAGAGACTGAAGATGGACGAGGGCTGCTGCGTGCTAGATTTCTAGGTCGGGAATTGGTTTTTGGCCTTGGGGGTTTTGCCAAACTCGTCGAAGCAGAAAGAAAGCAAGAAGCGGCTCGACTCTTCGTCTCTTCCCCTGCGCGTGCTGGCTGCTTCACTTGCTTGGACTTGGACTGATTGTTTGGGCTGGGCCTGATTTTTTAAAAATTGAGACTGGACCTGGTTTTTAAACCTATATACTAGTTAAAAACAAAAAAAATGAGCATGGGCCTGGGTCCTCCCTGGCCCTAAGCCCAATCCGCACCTGCCAATAGGTCTCTTTTATAGACAAACAATTTTATAGCCTACATATGTATTCATGCGTTCCTAAACTAGCTAAATGTGTGTGTTTATATTATATTATATATGTATATATATATATATATATATTGTTATTTTTCCTTTTTAGATAATTTATGTTATATTTTGATATGTATTAAATGTAATATTTATAATTTTTTACAACTTAATTAATATGGTTTAAATCTTAGCTCTCAAGGTTCAACTATAAATTAAATTAGATATTAATATGTAATATTTAACCTAGAATGAAGAAGAAGAACATTGAAGATTTCTATTATATTAAACAATTTGATGATATTCTTTTTTATATTTTCACATGAATTTAGTAAATTAAAGATGATATTTATCTCATGCGTCCTCGTTTTGCTATACTTTTTCTTAGTTGCGTTGCACTATTTGTGTATTTGTGAATATACCAATATTTCATGTGAGTTGGTTGGTGTGAAGATATCTACCAATTGCAAGATTTGTTCAAATTTTTTAGCATGTGTTTGACATTGTACCGTACCGTTTTGTACCGTTCCGAAACGGCATGGTAACGAACGATTCTATCCTTGAAACCGGACCGTTAAAAACCTAGCGGATACATTACGGGTTTACTAGTTTACCGGACCGTTCCGGACCGCGCCCACCCCTACTACACCGAAGTGTACTGGTGGGAACCATAGATCCGGGTATTTTTTAATTTTTTAAAGCTTCAGCCCATTTAAAATGAAATTTAATGAATATAATGGAGGCCGACAATAATTAACGAGCAAACCCCATAAACAACAGGTCCGGACTGGAAACAAGCAAAGTGGCCAATTATTTTAATGGTGGCATTTTTGTAATTTAAGCGAAAAATCGTGTCTCCTGCTAAATGAGCAATAATGTACTTTTAATGAGCATTTGATCTATTTCATGAAGTATTAGAAGACTAATTATGAGTATCACGGTCTCTGTTTCACATCTTCTAATTCTTTTTCTTTTTTTGTTATTTTTTCTTTTATAAAAACTTATTAAATTATATCTATAATCTACTCTGATAGTATGATACTTTTGGAACATGCATTGATATGACATTTTAAAAATGAGCATAACATTAGTACAAAATGAGCATACATAACTTACAAAATGCACATTATATGAAAATCGTAAGGTTTGTTAGTTGAACATCATGACATTTCAAGTGAGCATCAACATCCACTATTGAGATAAAAATCACGACTTCTGGAGAATGAGTAATAATGAACTTTTAATGAGCATCAGACCTATTATATTGAGTATTAGGAGTCTAATATAAAATACTCCGTAGTACTTTTAAAATGCATTGATATGATATTTATAAAATGAGCATATGACCAGTCTCAGATGAGCATACGTAACTTACAAAATGAGTATTAATGAATTTGTTAGTTGCTTTTTTAGTTGAACATTAAGACATTTTCAGTGAGCATCAAGCCTCCGTTATTGAGTATTAGAATCTGTGATTGAGTATCATGATTTGTTGTCTCGTGTTTATAACCAACTCTTATATAAATCTAATTTAATATGAGACTTTTGAAATGTGAATTGCTAAAACATTTTAAAAATGAGCATAACAGAGATACTAAATGAACATACATAATTTACAAAATGAATATTCAAAAATTCAAAAGTTCATTTGTGTATGTTCATTTTTTTAAGCGTTTTACTCATTTCAGTTTAAGGTAAAACACATTTCTAATGTGCTCGGAATAATATATGAAAAAGAGAAAGAGGTAAAACAAATAAAGAAAGGAAAAGAAGTAAAAAAAACCAAAGAAAATAAGTAAAGAAAGTAAAAGAAAAAGACAAACTCAAAGAAAGTGAAATCAACCACTAAAAAAGTAAAGAAAATAAAAGGCAAAAAGACAAAAAAACCTAACAATCAGAACCACTAAAAAAGTAAAGAAAATAAAAAAACAAAAAAAACAAAAAGTAAACATAACAATCAGAATTGATGATGGCAGAAGAAAGAAAGGAAAAGTGGAAGGCGGCGGAAGAAAAGAAGGAAAAGTGGAAGGCGGCGGAAGAAAAGAAAGAAAAGAGGAAGGCAGCGGAAGAAAAGAAAGAAAGATGAAAGAAAAGAGGATGGTTGCTGAAGATGAGAGATGATAGAAAGAACATGATGACTCAGAGACTTGAATTTGGTTTATTTACAAAAAAACGGGTGTATCTATACACCCGGGTGTAGGATATAATTTGCCTTCGCATGCCAATAATAATAATAATAATTATTATTATTATTATTATTATTATGTGACACGTGCCACATAATTTATTATCGCGTGCCTTAGCATTCCATTCATAAAATTTTATGAATATGTGGGATATTATAGGATTACCATAAATATATTTTCTCCCTTATAAGATTTCTTGATTAATTATACTTATTTGGGATATTATAATTGTTTCTTAGATGACGTTTCGATGAATATGTGGGATTAAACCTGCAAAATATTTTAGAAAGTAAATTGTTACGGAGTATTTTTTATGCATTGATTGGTGTTAGTTAACCTTACTTATATTTTAAATAGTTGTGATATTAAAGTTGATTGTTCTATTATCTCATATCAAAGCCTTTTTATGATATTACCAAAAGATTGACTTCCCATAGTCTCAACCCATTTATGCTCAATATGTGATATTACATTTACTTTGATTTTGCATTTTTATAATGAACTAGTATAGTACCCGTGCATACGCACGGAAAAGAACATTTGGTGCATATATTTTTACTCACGATTTAATTAAATATTAAAATAAAAATACTTTGTAAAATTCAACATTTTTGAAAAATAAGAGTACAATAAGCTAATACCATAAAGTATAAGCCCATTAAATACATATCCAATGAGAGTATATTAGGAAAAATCATTTGACACCATTCATTAGAATTTACTACTTATAAATTTTCATGATTAAATTAAATTTAAAATTAAATACTATTCTGAAAAAGTGAGAACAATAGGTGGGTGACATAAAGTTTAAGTGAGTTGAATAATTATTAAAATTGATGAATAGTATTAGTTGAAAAAGAAGTTGGTACTCATCAGTTAAATTAGAATTAACATATGAGAGAGAGAAAATTATTCTGCTAAATTTTCAACCAGTTTCTCTTATGCCTAAAAGAAGTACATATGACAGAAAATTGTCCCACTCGATCAATTGTTAGTCGGATTTGTTTATACCTAAAAACACTACATATGAGAGATAAATTCTCCCGCTCCATTCCCTCGCTCAACTGTTAGCAACTTATCTTCTAATATCTAAGAGTAATATATATATATATAAGAGGAACTTTTTAAGAGCATACAAAGCGCCACATAATCCTACCATGTCATCCGTCAAATATAACAATTATTTAGTTATTTTTATACTCCGTACCTTTTATTTTTATTGGATTCTATTTTTGATTGCATATTGATATGGAAACAAATGACTCTAGATTCCGTCACTTTTGAAATAGATCGATTCCTAATCTAAATTAGAAAATCTTTATATGTTTACAAATTCCTAATTTTGTTTACTCTTAAGAAGTTTTTAATTAGATTGATTTTCAGATCAAATCAAACTTTAATAATAATTGGACACATAAAATGTAAAACAGAAATCTACCAGATCATATTACTTTTGACCAAATCAAAGCTGAAATTTTTAATTCAATTAAAAACGTCATTATTAATGACGTTTTCAATGTGATGAAATAATAAGTAAAATGTAAAATCTTACTATTAAAAGTATGTACTCTATATTTCATACCAAGTTGAATGAGGAATACTAAAAAAAAATATTTTGAGGCGCATAATAAAGTAATTTAGAGGACATGAAAATAATTAAGAAGCTTCTCTATGAATTCTTTAAAATCGGGTTCATAACAATTATGCTTAGTAGAGAAGCTTATGTAGAAGACCATTTATACTATTTTTCATATAACTTTTATTTATTTAACAAATGGATTTTTTTTTCATGATTCGGGATATTCACCTATTCAACCTATTCAGCTAGAATTTAATTAATTTCAGCAAAACAAACTGATTCCATCAATATTAGTATTATCAAACGGACTCTATATTTAGACTGAGTTTATTTTGCTTTTGCGTCACATTATATACCGCCCGTGCATCGCACGGGCTTGAAACCTAGTACATATGAAAGAGAAAATTTTTCCGCTCAATTATTAGCATTGTTATCTTCTTGTACCTAAAACACTTACATATAAGAGAGAAAGTTCACCCGCTCAATTGTACTATATATATATGAGAAACGGAAATTCTTTCGCTCAATTGTTAGTCGGCTTATCTTATACTTTAGATAACTATATATGAGACAGGGAAATTCTCCTCCTCGTTATTATAAATAGTGTGAGTATTGATTCACAAGTTTATTTTGATGTTTCTTCATGTTTAATTTGGCTTCTTATTCTAGTTGGTAATCTACTACAGTGTTTCTTTCATGGTCCATTACATATGAGTTTTTCTTCATTTTCATAAGTCAACAGAATCAACCACTTCGACCACTTCTGCCAAAACTTCATAAGTTTCAGCAGAATCAGCTGATTCAGTCGATTTTGGTATTACCAAACAGGCTCTGAGAAAGTGAGAAGAAAGTGGAAAAGTGAGGTTGTAGTTGAGTAAGAAAAAGGTAAATGAATTTTAGCGACACGAACACTCCAAAGATCAATGGGAAGCTTATAAGAAGAAAGTTATCCCGCTCAATTTTTAGCTAGCTTACCCTATATCTAAAAGTAGAATTTGGATCCTCTCCAGGATACTTCCAGTTGGAGAGAGATAGAGAGGAGGGAAATTATAGTGGGGCATGTTGATGAGTAAGATAGAGAAAAAAATAGAGATTGATAAGAAGAAAAAAGAAATGGAAGAGAAATGGAGAGAAGGTGAACTCCTATAAGTACTATGTATGAGAGAGAAGTTCTTTCACTCAATTGTTACCCGACATATCATATACTTAAAAACTATATATGCGAGAAACAATTCTTCCTCATTATTATGAATAGTGTGAACTTTTATTCGCAAGTTTATTTTCATTTTTCTAAATTCAGTTCGATTTGGCTTCTTATTCCCGTTGGTAATCTTCTACGGTGCTTCTTTCATGGTCCGTTATATAGTAAGAGATGCATTTTTTGTTCAAATATTCTTCCAAATGCTAGATTAGTAAGCATCTGAAACTCTTTCGTAAGTCTATCTCGTTTGTATGTATAAAATTGGAAGTTTACAATAATAACAAAATTCAAATATATTTGTATATTTAATGAAATGTGAATTTTTAAGGATTCTCATTCTGTATTTAAAAAAAAAGAATTCTCAATCTGTTTACTATTAAAGGTGATTTGGTTCGCTGGAATTAAAAATACTCTTCCCCTTCCCATAAACATCTTCCCAGTTTGACTTGGATCGGAATTTAAGAAAGTACGAATAAAGTGGAAATGTGAGATTAAGATTCAGTAAGAAAAAGGTAAATGAATCTCAGCCACACAAAACTCCCCAAAAGGGGAAATGAGGAGAATTTTTTGGGATATCCCAAAATGGTGGGTGGAAAGAAATTTATGAGATAGGGGGAGTATTTTCTAATATGATGAGATTCATGTGTATAATGTCTTGCCCTACAGATTGAATTGCAAATCTCATGAGTTAACTATCCTCCTTTGCTATTTCCAATGGTAAAGATGCACAATATACATCACAAAGAGTACTATTTTATGGGACGGAGGTAGTAGAAATTATGTATTCATTTATACGGAATAATTGATATTGTGGTTGGAAAATATGAGGATTTAATAAACCTTCATATTTTGTTTTAAAAAAATTTATATTTGCAATATTGGTGTCATATGAAATATCGTAAAAAATATTAAGGCATAAACTATTACTTGAAAACACTGATTTCAATTTTTTAAGTCAGAAGCTGAAAAACACTTTTTAATTTCTTGAAAACACTCCCTTAGTAAGCCAAACTTTTAAATTTTCTATCTTCGTAATTCGTTCCTTAATAAAGACAACAAAAAAATGCAAAAGATGAAGTCACGTAGCATAAGTAGAGCAATGCTCTCTAACACTGGTAGATAGACACAATTCATAATAAACGGGGTAAAATATTTTTTTTAATAAGCTACTACTTTCTTATGCTATGTTCGCCCCATAAAACATTACAAACTTTCAGGTTTTTATCTCTCAAAAAACATTATCATTTCCACATAAAGTAAGAAATATGTGGTTAAAGTTGTTTCTCATTTCTCTACAGAAATATCAACTACACAAATTGTATTTTATTATTCTACGTGCAAGTCAATTTTGACCAAATTTTAAGATACGGAGTGAGTATATAAATATAAACAATTTTAAACATAATTATTGAGGACGTTAATAAATTATATTTTTATATATTCAATATTGATCTCATATGAAAGATCACAAAAAATTATGAATTTTGATATATTTTTTAGTAACATTGGAGCAAAAATGAAAAATTTATAACATTTTAAAAAAATGGGATTTTTAAGAAGAGAGAGCACCATCTCATTTCTTTGTGAGTAGCTAAGGGCTTAGAAAAAAAATGCCACGTGGCATTAAGGAGTGAGAGAAGAAAAATGTGGGTAGAAAGACATGTAGGCTTCATTAAGGTTAAAATTGTCTTTAGATGAGCTATTTGTTTTCTTATATATAAATAGATAATTAAGCAATGCGTCTAGAACCCCTAGCGATCGCGACTGCCAATATATAGTTGCCCCGCTAGTATCGTCGCCGTTGCCGCTTGTACAACAGCCACGTGGCACATATATTTTTGATCTGAATGCTTCTGGTCTGATCTGAATGTTTCTGATCTGATCTGAATGTTTCTGATCTGATCTGATCTAATGAGAATGTTTCTGATCTGATCTGATCTGAATCTTTCTGATCTGATCTGATCTGAATCTTTCTAATCTGGTCTGAATCTTTCTGATCTGATCTAATTTGATTTGAATTTTTCTGATCTGATCTGAATAAAATAAGAATAAACAATAAGTAATAAAAATAAGACCAATAAAACAGCACCTAAGACCGTAAACTCCACCGTATTTAAAACACAAATAACACGAGGTAGGCGTTTATGGACTTGTTGAGTTCTATGGACTCGTGGCCAGTTTGTTGAGTTTTAAAACAACAAACTCAAGTCTACTATATATATATATAGCATCCAAAATATTGAATCCAAAGATCTTGATTCATAACGAGTTCTCTATTTTGTTACACGAACAAATTTATAATTTATTTCATGTGTTCATATAGGATTTTTAATTTTCATTTTATTTCTTTATTTTGACTTTTTTTTTTATCCCGATAGACAAACACCAAAATAAGTGGGGTAAATATCAAGGAACATTTATCAAAGTTTATTAAAATATTTCTTTATTTTGAAATGAACATACATTTCTTTTAAAAAAGGATCTGAAGGATAATATACAAACACAATTCTCACTACTTTAGTCTCAATGTGGCAATTATCAAGTTCAATCCATGCTCTAAAAACTAAGATGCTCTTAGATGACAATTCTCAATGTGGTAATTATCAAGTTCAATCCATGCTCTAAAAACTAAGATGCTCTTAGATGACAATTCTCACTACTTTAGTCTCAATGTGGCAATTATCAAATTCTCAAATATTAACCACTATAATATCCCAAATAAGTATAATTAATCAAGAAATCTTATAAGGGAGAAAATACAGTTATGGTAATCTCAATTAACCTTACTTATAAGGGAGAAAATATAGTTATGGTAATCCCAAATAAGTATAATTAATCAAGAAATCATAATTTATTAATATCCCAATTATTACCGCGTGCCTTCACATTCCATTCATAAAATTTTATAGGAGGTAATGGTACAACAGCCACGTGGCACATATATTTTTGAACTTATTTCCAAGTCACCTTTGTAATTGATAATTGCACAATAGTCCTAGATTGATTAGATATTGTAAAAGTATACGTTCCACCCCTCTAATATTCTCTTCCCTCGCCCTCTTCTTTGTTTCCCGGTTTCAATTTTTTTTTCATCTTTTCATTTTCATGATGTGAAGCTCGACATCAAGGTTTCCTTAAAGCCTCTTGAAAGTCAATGCCTTAACATCACTTATCACTTACAAGGTAAATTAATTAGGTTTTTGTTCTTTTTAACAATTATTTTGTTTCTCCTTTTCTGTCAATACCGTTTTTGTTAATGTGCATTTAAGGGTATAAAAATCATAGCTTCTTTTGTGTTTTCCGATTCAATTGATGCTATGAATTTCCGATTTCATTATTCAAATTATATTATAAAATTTATATTCCTTTTTGCATTTCTATAAGGTGTTTGTTAAAATGTTTATCAATAGCTATATTGGCTTTAGTAGTTAGATTTGAATTTAAGGAAATCAGTAACCAAGGCTTATATAGTTCATTGGATTAATGTCATGGTGTTTGCTATTCATATAAATATACTATCACATAATACACTACCAGGTGATGAGGCCACTTTTCTTGTGCCTTGGTGAGCATCCAGGCACAAGATCAATGATCTTGTACCAAGAGCTTTTTTTCATTTCTCCTACTGAACAAGTGAGGCTTGTCCAACAAGAGTGAGTGTATAATAGAGCTCAATAAATAAGTGTTATTTTGAAAAGCAAGACCTAATTATGTTCAATCCATCTCTATTAACCTGAGCTTGCTGTTCTTCATGTTATTATGAAGAAATGGGTCGCGTCTATGAAAGAATAATGAGTCACTTTCAATTATTACATATGTTGAACCACAAATATGAATCATATTTGTTCTGTTTGTTTAATTTTAATTGAAAATTAGCATGAGCTTATTGTTAATATATGCTAGAATATGGCATAGACTCGTAAGAGGAGCATGTCCGTTTTTTAAAATGTTTTCTTGTGTAATATTTTCCAAGATGATTCAAATTTATTACTCCCTCCGTTCCCAAAAATACTTCCCACTTTCCTTTTTGGGCTGTTCCCAAAAATACTTCCCACTTTCCCATTTTGGACAATTCGTGTGGCTCACATTCATTTTACCTTTTTCTTACACAACCACAACCATACATTTCCACTTTATTCCACTTTCTTAATAAGCGTGCCAAGTCAAACTGGAAAGAATTTTTAGAAACGGAGGGAGTACTATTTATTATTATTATATTATTATTTATAATTTCTTGAATATATTTTAATTCCAAATTAAACTCAAAAAATTACCAACTTTATATAATTATAAATACATTTTAACTAAGTATAATAAATCTAATTTATTCTACTTAATTAATTCTATCAAATAGAACTCTCCTTCAATATCATGAATTAAATATGTTTAATCTAATTAATATTTAATTCATTTTCAGTATTACGAATTAAATATTATTTAATCCAATTAATATTTAATTCCTTCTAACAATTCAATCAGAAGGTCTAATCACTTGTCGTGTGACCCATAGGGCCTTATATATTAAGCACTAATCAAATTAAGGTCTTAGCAGAATCCCTAGACGATTTACCAGACAAGCTTAATATATAAGGACGTTTGCGAGGACTATTCAAACTCCCTGTAATATAGAGCTCATAGTGATACGGTCCTTTCATTCAACGAACATTTAACTAAGTCTAGAACATGATAGTGTGTCTATTCCAAATTGTAAAAATTGTAAAGTGGTGTATTAATTGTGGTGCCTATATCATACATCTGGGTGTATGTACACCCGGCTCAACTAAGGGAGACAGCCCAATAACTAATACATGCCAATTTTTTTCGGTGGCATTTTTGTAATTTAAGTGAAAAATCACGGCTTCTGCTAAATGAGCAATAGTGTACTTTTAGTGAGCATCTGACCTATTGTATTTAGTATTAGTAGGCTAACAATGAGTACCACAATCTCTGCTTCATACATAACATTTTTATTTGTAAACACTTTTAGGAAAATATTTGATATACCATAGCGTCTTTGGATTCACGTCAATTGGAGGAAGGATATACAAAACTATCAACAAGGACGGGTAAACCGTCATTTTTTAAACTTGGAGACCAAAACTTCCATAACCTCTAATGTGATGAGTAGATGACTATAAACAAGAGTCAAAGTTAATCTTTATCACATGTTGGATTTTTATTGAAAAAATAAGTTTCACTCATGGGCAACTTTATGTTGCAATAACTAAAATTGCACATCGTTAGAGTTTGAAAATATTGATTTGTAGTAAAGATGTCGAGCAAATCGTCCTCACTACAATGTTGTTGACAACTTAATGTTTCAAAATGTATAAGTTTCCGCAAGCTCATTGTAATATTTATTTCTTCATATTTCAAAATATAAACCGCAACCGTTCTGAATCAGCATTTTTCTTAGTTACAACTTATAATGTATTACATCTACTCTTTTGATACAGTTTACTCATGCCCATTTTATTAATTCTAATTACACATCGATTAATAATGTTAATAAATCATAAAGTATAGTTTTTATTTAATTGTGTTCCCGTGCATCGCACGGGTGAGAATCGAGTTAGACTTAAACAGACCTACTCGGACCAGATGAAACCAGAGTTCGATAGTTGTAAAATACACATACAGACATTTACTAGACTAGTAGATACCAGTTCAGACCAAATCAAACCAGAACATATCAGAAATTTCCAATCTAATTAAAAACCCTTTGGTGAATACAGACCAGAACATAACAGTTCATTATGGTGTTTCTACATGCTTCCTTTACATATACAGGTGATGAGGTCATTGAGTTGAATGAAAGTTATAAAACCCTTGTTCATTTTTGGCTGTTTTAAATGGCATCCTTCCCGTTTCCATGTTATCATCATATCATGTACTAAGCTCTAGGCCTCTAACCTAATTTTCATTGTTGAAAATGTCTAAGAACCATCTTTGGATTTGTAACTGATATTTACATTTGTAAAACATATTTGTTTTTGTTGGAAATATGATGATATAAAAATAATTATATGTTAGAAGTGGTGTTTTTATACACCGAAGTACAACTTTTATACTTGGATATCTATAATTTTTTATGATTAGAATTCATAGTTGTAAAAATTGTAAAGTGGTGTATTAATTGCGGTGCCTATATCATACATACATCTGGGTGTATGTACACCCGGCTCAACTAAGGGAGACAGCCCAATAACTAATACATGACAATTTTTTTCGGTGACATTTTTGTAACTTAAGCGAAAAATCACGGCTTCTGCTAAATGAGCAATAGTGTACTTTTAGTGAGCATCTGACCTATTGTATTTAGTATTAGTAGGCTAACAATGAGTACCACGATCTCTGCTTCATATCTTCTAGTACTCATCCATACCTGGTCGGGTATGGCGAGGCAGTGGTTCCTGGAGCCATTTTTAGGTAATACCCGGTCGGGTATTTACCCATATCCGATCGGGTGTCCCCTTTGACTTGACGCTCAACGCCCGTTTGACTGCCCAAACAAAGTCCGATTTACGTGAAATTTTATACACATGCATTTCTTGATGTCCTCAATCCAAAAATACCTTTTTGGATCCTTGGAACATCATATATAATAAATTATCACTTTTTAAATCATCACACATATATAACATGTTTTTCAACAATGCTTTATATATAATCATGGCATAACACATACTTGTTTATCTTTAATTATTCCATAAAACATATTCTTGATTACTTTAGGTAATCTCATGCCTCAAGCAAAATTTATAAAGCATAAAGCCGTCTTCTCACCTTAAATGAAGCTTATGAAGTTATACCCTCCTTGGTTGAACTTCTGGCGAAGCTCTGGCGATCTTTGTGAAACTCTGGTGATAAACTTCGGTGACTCTTTCAAATCCGTAAAAGCTCTAGGAGTACCTTACACAAGTTTCTAATAAGATTTTATTATCATAGAACCTATATTAACACAAATAACCCCTAAAAGGTTATTTTCCGGCGAACCGGTCACTTTGGTTTCTAAGTCCGTTCTTGGACTTGGAACTACCTTCCAACCCCTCATTCTACACCCCTAAACATTTAGAACAATCATAGGGGCCCTGCATATGATATATAAGTCATATGATAGATAAGAAAAAGAAGAAAAGTTATTATAATGTCATTACCTTAATCCTTCACACTTTTCCTATCTTTTTCCTTCTTTAATCTCTATCCTTGAACCACCTTGGCTTGAGCTCGAATTTCAGCAATGGAGATGATAATTTAGAGCTTCTCTCTAAAAAATGAAGGCTAGGATCGAGCTCAATGGTTGGAGGGTGATGGAGATACTTTTTTTTAGCTTATTCACCAATAATATGGGGGAGGGTCCCCTTTCTCTTCTCACTTTGTCTCCACATCACTTCCTTGTTATTTTCTTGGCTCAAAATGAGGCTCTCCATATTTTTTGAGAGACAAAAAACGTGGGATGGCCCCACTTATGTGGGAGGTCATCCCTTTGTGTCCCGATGCGTTGAAGCGGCCCCGAAAGTTGTACTTCTCGGACTATTTTAATTATATTTTATTTTATCCGGTCAAATAAAATATAACACACGTTCTCAATCACCACTGGACCTTAGAATGAATATACGCTTCTCAACTTCAATTTAGAAGTCACCAAAATTCATCTCGGGCGATTATCTCATAAATTACCAATACCGATAATTGGGCCTTGTTTGACCAACCGGTCAAACCTATGTCTTTGTTATGGCCCAACTAGGATATATACATATTCTCTAGACCAAGATGAATATAATATGTGGTTTCAGAAATATCGGGTGGCCCCCGGTTCCCAGTGTGGGCCCCACGTGCAATTCACTATTCACGCAAAAGAACTAACAAAAACTTACAACCACGTAAATTCATAAATCATCTTTCAAGGTTTATTGCATCATTTACTGAAAAGTAAACACACTTGGGGACGGTTTTACATTAAGTCACATTTTATATTGCATTTTTTTATAAATTAAAATTACTGAAAAAGTTTGGTAAGAAAAAAAAGAAAACAAAAAGAAAAGAGGGCATGGCCTGGGAGTAGGGATGGACCGGGCTCCGGGCTGGGCCCAAGCGGGCTTTTTTTAGAAACATGGGCCCGTAACCTGCCCGGATTGATATCGGGTCCGGTTCGGGTCGGGCTACCCGGTCGGGTAGCGGGCCGGTTCGGTCCGGGCCCGAGCTAATTAATTTTTTTTTATTAAATATTAAGTTAACATTAGTTGTACATAAAAAGGTTAAAATATATTTATTTGAAATATGTAGTACAATTGAAAATTGAGAAAAAAAATAAAACATGAAATACATTTTTTAATAAATAAGAATTAATCGGAATCTCCGCCATCTTCGGTTGTTTCCTCCATAAAATGGCGGGTAGGTTCGATGCTCAGTTCTTGAGTTCTACGTTGGGCCTTCAACCAATCGTGGAAGCAAACAAGCATCTCAAGAGAGTTTGCGCTCAATCTCGTTCTATAGTCCGTTAGCACGTTGCCGGCCGCACTAAACTCTTGTTCCACAGCAACTGTTGATACCGACATTGCTAGCACTTGCTTAGCCATCTTTGATAAGATCGGGAACGTTCTTTCTTTTTCCTTCCACCACTGAAGTACGTCAAAGTCATCCCCTTCTTCTTACTCAACAAGAAATGTTAGATACAAAGAAAGCTCGTTAATCGAGCTTTGTTCATTATCCGGAGTTGATTTACTGTTTTTAATAAGATTGCCAAATGCAGATTTCAAAATTGTTTTTCCTTTAGATGAAGAAGATGTTCGTGACGGGGGAGGGGGTGCGCTACCATATTGTGCATGAAACTCATTAAATAATTGATAAAGTAAATTACTAACCTCTTGGGGCCCGTTTGGTTGGGGGTAATCTCACATGAAGGCCAGATGTGATGCACGGAATGCTAGATACACTTGTTTGGTTCACGGGTTTGAAGAAAAATCGGGAAAGTTACATTCCCTGGAATGTTATATGGAGGGGAATGTTAAACCCATCCATGCCTTAGGTTATCTCACATTCGTGAGGTGATCTAATTTTCTTCCGAAAATACCTTCAATTAATTATCTCTTTTCATTTAATTTCTTTATATATTCAAGTGTTATCAAATTTAATTTTTTGTGACTTTATAAAACTTTTAATATAGTGTCTAAATATGTAAATTTTATTTACTAAAAATAATCTGATTATTGGCAGAGATCAGTTAGTTTCATGGTCAGTCGAACATCGTAAATTGTGTAACAACCTTTTAGGTGGGATGGACAGAGTATTAATTATATTCGAATGTCTATTCTTGTTATTTGCATATTTTTTTGCCTTAACATTTAAATTTATTAAGGTATTTATGTTATAAGAGTTATAGATTTAAAGGGCATAAAAGTAATTCATCATATATGCAATATAAGATATCTTTCAACCAAATATATCATGACACATTCCCTTGATGTTAACCAAACACAAATGGGAATCAATTGAATACATTCCCATCAATATAACATACCCATGGTAATATGACATTTCTTGAACCAAACATACCCTTGGAATTCTTGTTTAGGGTCTATGGCCTTGTCGTCGTAGATAGGCAATTGACCAAAAAAAAGCATAATAGTAATCTAAACATTTCCCCAAATAATCAAGTCTAAAACGAGGATCAAGAATAAATGCAATACCATATATATGCGGAATATGTGAATAATATTTTAAAAACTTCTCTTTCATGTAAGAACAAAAATAACAAACGTAATTGGCATCAGAAAATTCACAAAAAGCATCGGCGAGGTTTATAAACATGACTAAAAGTTTGAGTTGCATTATTAAAAAACACCAAAACATTCACAATTTTTTCACAAGTGTCGATGTCGGCCGGGTTTATAATATAGTTAGCATATTCTTTGATAAACCCAGTATACTAACAATCAAACAATCATAAGCAATGAAGAAGAAGCAGATAGAAAGATATCGAGATCATCAACGCTTGTGGTATACCGTGTAAACTGGCCGCTGCTCTCCCTGGAGAAGGAGAGCAGCGGCAAACCCTAATCTCTCTATCTCTACGCCTCTGAACTCTCTAAAGCCTCGATTGTTTCGATCCTTAGGGTTCCCGTAAGTTAGCCTCCTTTTATAGGAGAAGTTGGCTAACTTACAGGTTACAAAGAAGCTAACGGGTTGATACACATTTGTGGCCTGTATGACACGTTTAATTAATAATTACACAAATACAAAGATATTTAATTAGATTGGACACCATAAAATATTCTCAACAATCTCCCCCTTGGTGTTCAATCGTGTTGAATCAGCATTGCAGCACGGATATCTTTGTCTTTATTTTGATTGAGCTTCCTTTGTCTTTGAACTTGACTTCTTGAGAAGGCATTATGAATAAATCCTCGCAATCTCCCCTTTGATGTTTTCTTGGCAGTTTGATCTTTGATGCCGGGGTTTGAGGAATCTTTTTCTTATAATCCTTGCCTTCCAGAAGTTGCTCTTGATCAACTTGGATGAAGTCTGGTGATGCCTCTAGAATGAATGTTCTGATGATTATCAGGGGCGCACGGGATTTATCTTCAGGACACGAGTATTTGACCTCTGACCCTCCACAATGTAGTCTTTTTGACTATTTGGAATGAATGCATTTGAGGAGAACTTGTCGGTGGCACAACGGAACATAATGATGGTTGACTTGTGAGCGTAGCTGACCATTTGAGTTGCGGAGATAGTAGAGAGAGAGTTGGAGGAGAAAAGTGTCCGAGAATTATTTTTGAGAGTTAAACATCATGTGGAACAGTCTCCCTCTCATGACGGTCCAATGAATCGGGGCGTCATGCCTTTATTCTTTTATTCTGCGGAAATAAAACAGGAAAAACAAGCAGAATGTAAAGAAGATAACGTAGCCCCCCCGGGGTCGTGTAGACGCCCGTTATCATCACTAAAGAGATAAACTCTTTAGCAATGGCCTAAAAATGTTGGTGATTCTTATGTTGCAACAGCAGGACTTCCTTCCAATTGTTGGTCTACATCTGTAATAGATGAGCCCTATGGAAGTTCTCGCGGGTCATGTAGACCTGCAACTGACTCAAAAAGTGCGTCTGTGTCCTAGAAAATTTCAAAACATTTGGGAGCGAGTAACTAGACACGACGTGATCAATGAAAATTCAGTGGCATGGGGTTGAGGGCACTGTAGTCAGTATCACTTGCCTCGGAAGGAGACAGTAATGAGAGATGCGGTTCCCCGTGAAGGTTTCTGTAAGCTCATCATTTGGAATTTCAGCACGTTTGAGGATCACACAATGTTGATGAGTTAGGGGATGCTTTAGTAGTTGATTGTTGATTGTTGTAAAATGACCGTTGACGCGAGGTTGATTGAATTATCTACGATTTTCGGACCTCTATAGTGGTGTTTGACTTTGGAAGAATTTGAACATCTTTGAACAGATTTGCCTAAGTTTTGACCTTGACATCGGTGATTTACAATGTTTGTCGGAAAATGAACGTTTTGACCCTCAAGGACTGCGCGTGAGGGCGCGTGAGAATGGGTGCTCGGGCATAGCCGGAGAATAAATGTAGATCGTTGCGTTAGCTTTCCAACAAAAAAAAGTTTGCTTAAATCGGATCACTGAGTCAAAAGTTATGGCCAAAACAGTGCGGTGTTGCAGAATGTTTGAGTTTTTGAGGAATTTCTTTGAAGTTGAGGTTCTCAATGTTGAATATCGAGAACAGGTGAGATTAAGGAAAATTCTAAGGCAATCCCTCGAAATCCTAATCTCGAGGTTTAAATCTCGAGATTACAATCTCGAGGTTTAAATCTCGAGATTACAATCTCGAGGTTTAAATCTCGAGATTACAATCTCGAGGTTAAACTTCGAGATTACAATCTCGAGGTTAAACTTCGAGATTACAATCTCGAGTTTTAAATCTCGAGATTACAATCTCGAGTTTTAAATCTCGAGATTACAATCTCGAGTTTTAAATCTCGAGATTACAATCTCGAGGTTTAAATCTCGGGATCTTAATCTCGAGTTTGCCTCGAAGAATAATGACGAAATCCACCTGCAAAACAAACCTTCAGACTTCGAAATCTTCAGAATTTCAAAATGTTTAGAACATCGAAAACTTTGGAGTTTCGAAAACCTCAGAAAATAAAAAACTTGTTGTTTGAAAAACATCAAAACATCGAAAACTTCTAATAACTTTGAAAAGCAGAGATTCATCCAAAAATCCTATAATGTAAAGTTTCGAAGTGTTCTGAACAAGAAAGATATCAAGTTTAGAAGAAATCAGTGATTCAATAAACTCCAAACTTTGAAAAATTCAAAACATCGAAAAATTCCTAAAATCT